TGGAGCAGAGATCAGATCTGTGATGTCCCAGCACAGGCCTGGGCTCACTCACCCTGTGCCCTGTGCTGGGCTCCCCAGCTCAGGAAGGAGCCAATCCATGGGGAAGGGTCCAGGGGAGGTCACTGAGTGCCAGGAGCTGCTGGGTCTGAGTGAGGAACTTCTCTGAGCTGGGCCTGCCCAGCCTGGCCCAGAGAAAAACTGGGGAGGATCCCCCCACCCCCACCACACCTTTTAAATGTCAGAACCACAGAGCTTCAGCCACAGCTCAGGTGGGGCAGGTCTAGAAAGAGCTGAGGGGTTTTCCCTGCTACAGCCTTTGGATCCTTTCAGCAATGACAAAAATGACACTAATGGTAATTAACTTTTCCATGGACTGAAGTCATGGCTGTGAAAGCTCTTGGGAGAGAAATCCACTGAGGATGAAATCATGGAATCATTGAAAATCCTGGGCTGGGAGGGACCCACAGGGATTGCTGAGTCCAACCCCTGCCCTGCCCAGACCACCCCAACAATCCCACCCTGGGCATCCCTGAGAGCATTGTCCAAACACTCCTGGAGCTGTGGCAGCCTCGGGGCCGTGCCCATTCCCTGGGGAGCCTGGGCAGTGCCAGGCTGCAGGAAATGGGATTTACAGTTTCCTTGCTCCTGTTGGATAAGACAGATCAGTCCAAGCTGATTCCTGCTGCAGGGTAACAGGGTTTTCCAGACCTTTCAGACCTTTCTTCTTTCCTAACACTGGCAAATCAACCAAAATAAAACCATCCAAACCAGAAAGCTTGAAGAAATTTCAGCAATTTTTATTGATTTCAGCTTTTCCAATGAAGCAAATACATACAGTACAGCCAAAACAAAACTCTGAGACATTTTTCTCACATACCTATATCTTACAGAATACACTGTAGAGCTATGGACTGGTAAGGCTGAGTTGGTCTCACACTGGTGTGTGTTCAGAAAGGAATGAAACTGCCTTTGATTTGTCCATGAGGCTTCTGAAATGCTGGGGTGGGATTGTACACACACAAAATAAACAAAGCATTTATAAGGAAATAGACCAAAAAAGCTCTGCTGTGCCCAGGACAGTGAGGGTGGTGTTTATTTACATGGCTGGGTGTCCAACTGCTCCTGCTGCTGCTGCTGGCCACACTCCTTCCTCCTCCTCAGGAATTCTCCATCCCTGTCCCTGTCCCTGTCCCTATCCTGGGGTGTGCCCTACCCTGGCTCTTCAAGGAGCAAGGAACAGGAAACCAGCTCAGAGAGAGGATGTCACAGTTAAAATCATGCCTTAAAAAAAATACCTCCCCAGAATGAAAACAATTATACTGGAGGTGAAAACAGCATTAATTTATGTTGGAGAGAACCTCACTGGGCTCCCAGAACAGTTGGTTATGAGCAACAGCAGTTACTCCAATGTCTGAATTTCCCTGCACTTCTCAGAGTTGGGCATCAAAGTCACTTCACTGACTTGGGTGGAGGCTGGTGTCCAGATTTTAAAGGGAGACTGGGAGGACAACAGAGGGTATCAGAGAATTTCCCAGGGAAGATCCAGCTGCAGAACAACCCTGGAATGGCAGAATGGTTGTGATTTCTGCAGCCCATGGCTCTCCTGAGTGGGCTCTGCCCTGAGGCTTGCAAGCAGTGACAAACAGCATCCTAAAAACAGCTCAGGGGGAGGAACCTCTCTGGTGTGCCCAGCTCAGGGCAGGGACAACATCCCAGCCAGGTGAGGATGCTCAGGGCTGTGCCCAGTCACGTTTGGAAGAGCTTTGAGCATGGAGACAGATTTTATTTTTAGCTTTAAAAAAAACCTGTCATAAAAACAACTGTAACAATGGTTTTTGTAATAAAATTTATGTGAATGATGAATCTGTCTCCTGGAGTCCAATACTCACTAATGAAATCTCCAGCACCTGTAAATTTAATTGTGAGTTGATGATCGTAATGTGATCTTTGTGCCTTGTACAGTGACTCAGTAACTGCATTAGGGGAGAAAGCAGCTGCACTGTTTTAAATAAAGCCTAAATCACAGCCAATTAGAGTGAATTTCCTCAATATTCCATCATTCCATTTTGTAGTTCTGTTTCCCCAATTAGTTTTCCAGAGGAAAACATCTGCTCCCAGGACTTGTGTTGGACATGTCATTACAGATCAAACCTGAATGCAAAATTGCACAGAACACTTCACACCCAAACTGAACCAGCCCTGTGGATGCTGCAGCCCTTGGGGACATCCACAGATGGGTCTTGCCCAAAGCATTTCCAACATTTTGCATCTGGGAATCCACATGCAGCAAGGGAACTGCTGGAAGGGCTTTGCCCACAGACTGGGGCTCTTTGCTCTGTTTAAACCCTCCTGGAACACTTCAGTCCAACTGGATTCTCCTGGTTCTGCCTCTCCACTTCAAAGGGGCTTTTTTCCCTTTCTCATTTGGCTGCAGCTCAGCACAGAAAGCTCCTGACTGAGAAGAGTGGCTGCTCAGTAAAGTGCACAAGATGAAGCCACTCTGTGTAGCCCAAGAGGAAAACCAGCAAGGGCCACCTGGAACTGCAGCAGAGCAAACCCAAACTTCACAGGGGGTTCTTTAGTGGGCACAGATCACCCCATGGATATGAACTGAATATCCTGAGTCTCACCAATTAATGAGCCTGACACTTAAAATGAGACTGCTTTTCTATTTCCAGGCTCATAATCCATCCTTCCCAAGCACCTCCTGTGCCCCTGATGTTTGAGAAACAGGGCCCTGTGTCCCTGCAGCCTTTGAGGAATAATAACCAGCACAGGCAGCAAAGACAGCCTCAGCTGCTCCTTCCCTGTGAGTCTGAGCTGTGTCCCCTCCATGGGAAGGATATTTTTCTTCTGGAGAGAGGAAGGTTGTGAGAATGGAGTTGTTCTGAAATGAGCTCAGCAGTCCCTCAGCACAGCCTCAGCATCACAGGCAGACTAATGCAATTCAAGATCCTGAGAAATAAAACATTTCCAAACCTGACATCACACAAGTGCTCACATGCCTTTGCACATCAGTACCAGTTCTTTACATTGATCAATAAAAACAAAGTATGATTAAAGAGAACACATCCCTCCCTTCTTTCATTCCTGTGGCAGTCATTGATTCCAGGGGGAAAACACTTGGCCTGTCCTGCTCAGCTTCTCAAATGCCACCTTTGTCCAGGCACAGTCAGGAACTGGAATTGCTTTGGTGCCCAGAATGGATCAGGACCTGGGAATGTTCAGGCTCTGCAGCTGTGTCCCAAATGTCCTCTCACAAACAGCTTCAGGGAAGGGTGATGGAGGCCTGGGAGAGAATCTGCAGGTGTCAATTTGCTTCTTGAGATAAAGAGCTCATGTGACAGGAAAGAAAATGTTAACAATTATCAGAGAAAAATCCTAAGCAGAGAAGAAGCCCTTGCTCATAACTGTGAGGAATAACCAGCCTTGGAAAGAAGAGAATCCTTGTGTGTATCTGTTAATAATGGACAGATGCAAAGGGGGAACTTGACCTAAAATTGACTTTTTATGTGTTTGTGAATAAAAACACGTTGTGACAAATTTTTAGCATGGCAGTATTTGGTGCATGGATAGGGTGAAGTTGGAATAAAATCCTGCAAGGGGTTAAACTGCACAATCACCCTGACCTTGGGTGGAAAACAGGGGACTAAGCTGGAGGAAGATCCTGCTCCCCACGTGTGCTCTGTGTGCTGCCTGCACACACCTCTACATCACACCCAGAGTTACACAGACACACTCTTGGCAAAAAAATAATTATTGACATCGAGAAAGTATATAAAAGTCCCTTCTCCCCCCTAAAAAGAAGAAAATGTTTAAAAATATCAGTGTCATCCACATGAAATCCACATGTTTGGTTTGCTTTACAGTTGAGTTGAACTCAGAAACTCTCTACATCTTTAACATCCTCAGGAATCATGGAAGTGTTGCTCTTCCTAGACATGAACCAACTCCAAATTCTGAAATAGAAAAGAAATAAAACAAAGAAAAAGCAAAACCCCAGATAATTAAAGCATTCAAGAGATCTTTTCATTACAGCAAACCCCAACTTTTAATCTTTTCTCTGAGCCTGGCTGCAGTTTCTCAGCTGCACAAAGCTTTTCACCCTGGACTTCCACCCTCCTCAGAGTCCCAGTGCAAACATCCCAACAGAGCAGGAAGTGAAATCCATTCCTGGGCAGAGGGAGGGAAGGGGCTTTAGCACTGTTTTCCCTTGGTTTGATCACAAGGACCATGCTGGGGAAGGGAGCAAGTAATTCCCTCTGCATAATCTCAGACATTATCCAAGAGACCTCTGGTATTTTCAAAGTGCTTAAAGCTTTTCCCTTCAGTGGGAATCATGAGTGAAAAGTGCCTGATGGGTTAAATCCTCATTTCTCACTGAATATAAACCCATAACGATGCCCTGGAAATTCTGCCCATGGTTTCTCTTCCCTGATTCTCTTTTGAGATTTTCAGTTGACAGAATGTGGTTCTCAACTCTGACCTGAGGTTGACAGGCAGATTAAGGGCTCAAACTATTAGTTAAGGCTAGTGAAGCCATGGATGTGCTGGAATTCACTGCACATTACTGGCACTGTCTGGCTAACACCGCTCAAAGTTCAGGAATGAGGGCCAGGGAGAATCCCAGAAGAGCCTCACCTGTGAGGGTTTGGAAAAATGCACTGAAATCAGAGATTGCTTGGCAAAGGAAGGGAGAGGCACAGTTGAGCCCAGCAGCTTTGTCTGTCCTGTGACATCTGTGCTGAGCATCTCCAAAATGCACAGCTGGGCAGTGGGGGCAACATCTGCCCTGGGCCCAGGGACAGCACAGCCTCTGACCTCTCATAGAAACAGACTGGGCTGGGAAAATTTGGGATGAAAATCTCACAAACACACTCCTGAGGTGATCAAAAGTAGCAACAATCTCAAAGGATTCCTGTGTCTCGAATCCACCACAAGGGCCATGTTCCCACAAGGGCCATGTTCTCACCTGCAGCCTGAATGTGCATGGAGAGGCTCTAAAATCTCGAGGAGAGGGTCCTGAAGGTCGTTCCAGCTAAAGATCCCATCATGTTCTTATCAAATCCTTGCTAAAAAAGCAGAAACATGAGGTGCATATCAGTTTCTACACTGAGAGCAGGAATTGAGCAAAGTGTGCTTCATCCTCAGCCAACCTCCTCTGTCAGGCCTCTGGGTACTTTTGTCACCCTTACTGATGAACTCCACAGAATCACAGAACCATGGGATGGTTTGGGTTAAAGGGACCTTAAAGCTCATCTCATCCCACCCCATGCCATGGGCAGGGACACCTTCCCCTAGACCAGATGGCTTTTCCTTGCTTTTGCCTTCCATCAACCCAGAGCTGGACCCCTCCTGGTTTTTGGAGGGAACTTCTACTGAATCATTCACTCAGTATTGTTTCATTTAGTTCCTCATCCTGAAAAAAGAGCAGAAGTCTTCACATGGTGCATGTACCCCTGCAGACTCCCATCCTCCTCCCTGACAGGTACCTCTGCAATAAACCTGTGTGTGAACACCAGAGTGACTCAGTCACACCAAAATGAGCTGGCATGGGCTGTGAGCAGAGCCTGGCACAAAACCACCCCAGCTCCTGTGCAGAAAGGCCTCACTGTCAATGTGGGAACAGACTCTGGATGCTCTGCTTTTGCCTCCAGGTGCTCCCCTTTGTAGGGATCCCTCCTCCTCTTTAATTTGGCCCTGTACTCCCTGCAAGTGCTGCTGCTTTTGAGTTGGAAAAACCCAAACTTGTTTAAAGAAAGCCACTGGGAGCTGGAGCTGGGAATTGGGAGTAGCTGGACCTGGGAATTGGGAATTGGGAGCAGCTGGAGCTGGGGGCTGGAGCAGGGAGCTGGGAATTGGGAGCAGCTGGGGCAGGGAGCTGGAGCTGGCTCAGTGCCTGTTTGGCTCTGCACTTTCCCAGCTTCTGTTGCAGGGAGTAAAACAAATCCCAAACACTCCTCTCCTCTTGGTTTGAAAGCTTACTCTGACTGCAGGGGGATGTAACCACAGGGCAGGGCCGTGGACACAGAAGAAAATGAGGGGAAAGAGAGGAGGGACCTTGCCAGGCACCTGCTGGGACACAATGGGCTGCAGAGAAGGGAAGCCCCTAAAGGAGGGTGGAACACCCAGCATGTCCCAGCCCAGAGTGAGGGGGCTGTGCTGGGGAACATTCCAGCACCATCCCCAGGGAGGAAGGTGTCTGACACAGGCATGACACCCTTTGCTTTGTCCCCAGAGTGAGTCCCAGCAGTGTCCCCCTGCCACCTGCTCAGATGCCAGGCCAAGTGCCCCAGGCTCCTTCTGGGCCCTGCCCTCCTCGCTGCTGGATCAGGGCCTTTACCAGCTCCCCATCTCAGCAGGTGAACAACCCAGAGCTGCTCCTGACTCCCAGAAGCAGGAGTGTTGTCCTTACCTGCTTGAGCACACTCTGCAGCTCCCTGTTGGACCAAAGGTCTGTCAGGAGAAGTCGAGCAGCTTCAGCTGCTTTTGGACAGGAGCTGGGAAGGTGAAAGCAAAAGGAGGATTATGGCAGGCACAGAGCAGCACCCCACAGGCACTGGTGAGCACCTGGGACAAACCCAGGCACTGCTGAGCACTGGGACAAACCCAGGCACTGCTGAGCACTGGGACAAACCCAGGCACTGCTGAGCACTGGGACAAACCCAGGCACTGCTGAGCACGGAGACAAACCCAGGCACTGCTGAGCACTGGGACAAATCCAGGCACTGGTGAGCACCTGAGACAAACCCAGGCACTGCTGAGCACTGAGACAAACCCAGGCACTGCTGAGCACCTGGGACAAACCCAGGCACTGCTGAGCACCTGGGACAAACCCAGGCACTGGTGAGCACCTGGGACAAACCCAGGCACTGCTGAGCACTGGGACAAACCCAGGCACTGCTGAGCACGGAGACAAACCCAGGCACTGCTGAGCACTGGGACAAATCCAGGCACTGGTGAGCACCTGAGACAAACCCAGGCACTGCTGAGCACCTGAGACAAACCCAGGCACTGCTGAGCACCTGGGACAAACCCAGGCACTGCTGAGCACCTGAGACAAACCCAGGCACTGCTGAGCACTGGGACAAACCCAGCTCCAGCTGGGAGCCTGGCTAGCCATGAACAGGACTGTCAGTAACACCCTCCTGCTCTCTCAGCAATGTTGTGTGACAACAATTGTCACCAGAGCAGGGCAAATGAAAGAGAGAGGAGGATCTGAGTGGGAAAATGAGGATAAAACTGAGCTGAGTCTGAAATTTGAGAGAGGGAAAGGGAAGGGAAATAGTGCCAGCCCTTTGCTGGAGTCTGCAGGGACTCCCAGCGTGGGTGGATCTCCTGGGAGGGGGCAGAGGAGCGGGCTTGGAGCTGCCTGGAGAGGACAAGGGATGGGAGCCTTTGCAATAACATCTGCAAGCAGCCCAGAGCCCTTACTCAGCACAAGGGAACAGATACCTGCTCACGTAACAGCTCGAAACCGTGAGTCATCGCAGGACCTTTTATAATTTTGGAACATTTCATACCCTGATATCCCCTCCCTGCTGGCTCCCATGGCTGCTCCTGATCTCCTGGGCCTCCTTCTGGCTGTGGGAGACTCCTGCTCTGGGTTCAGGGCAGCAGCCCCAGCCTGTCCCACCCAGGATGATGGAGAGGAACAGGACCAAGCTCAGGACCCTCCCTGTCTGATACAGAACCTTGTGCCCTCAAAAACATTCCTCAAAACAGTCCCCAAAAGCCTACAAGAAATGGAACCAATAGATCATGAGGAACCTGGGACATCAACTCCACACTTGGAGTGTGGGAGGACAGGGATGGAACCACATCCAGAAAATTTTGAGGCATTTCTCTGATATACACAGCAACTGCTACCAAAGAAATGATCGAGTTTAACTTGGTCATAAACTTCAAAGGTGTTGTGCAGCTCCCAGTGTTGTGTGGAGGGCTGGAGGACAGCCAGAAATTCCTGAGCAATGCTTTGGGACAGAAAAAACAGGTTTTATTGCCAAATCTCTTCTGTAGTTATAAGCACACTATGCTCTGTCACCAGAATGACAATGTTTTAAAACATTTTTGCCTGAAATGTTGTCTGTGGCTGAAAAGCCATTAAATCCCTACAAACCCAAGGGTACCTGTGATCAGACAGGCAGAGCACAAACTGAACTCTCAAGGATTTGTAGTTTCAAGTTATTTCTCTATTCCTAAGCCAGAGTAATTCTCTCTTATTTTTGAAAAAATTTACATCTAATGATGCTTAATACGTGCTTTTTGCCACTATGTCTCCAGAGAACACCTCAGAAGTTTTGTATTTTCAAGCCAAAATTACCAGCATCAGTACCTGAATCATTTATGAATTCAGGCAGAAGTTCTGAACTCTTCATTTGAAGAACTGGCACTGACTGTTTCTTCCAGCATTGACTGCTATAATTTAGGTATAAAAAGCTCAATATGGGCTGGTGGAACTGTGATGCCAACTTCAGTAGGTAAAGCAGCATATCCCAAACAAAACAGTGTGAATATAGTAGTGGGTAACATGGAGCAGAATATCAAGGACAGCTGATTTGAGGGGGAAATTCCTTAATAATGAATTGCCTGAAAATCAAAGATGATTTTAAGTACTGTCTGTCTTTTACAAATAGAATTATTCATGAAAAATTGTGGAAAGGCAATGAGGGAGATGTCCCCTGGTGGCAGTGGCAGGAGTCATCCAAAAAGCTACAGACTCAACAAAACATAAACAAGACACAATCAGAAGGAGATGGTGGGGAATGGGGAGAAACAGAATGGGGGCAAAAAAGACAAGAATCTTGTCCACAGATATCAAATAATGGGGAGAAATAATCCTTCCTCAAAGGACAAATGTACGAAGAACTTAAGGCGTGTCACTGAGAATGCCAAGGAATTCCCAGAACAAGCAAGAGATTATGAAATTGATATCAAGGTGCAATCTTTGGCAGAAATGGGAAATTGGAAATCTGGATAAGAACTCTCTGGCACAGGGAATAATCAAGACCTGAGTCTCTCAAGAGATTAATTTTGGCAAAATGCTGTGGTGCAATTGAACTGGAAAATAAAACTGCAATAGCAAAAGTGTGAAAAGTGAAGGAACACAGAGAAACAGAAATAAATCCATGGTAAAGGGATAAACTGTAAATGTGATGGTCTAAAGCACAAGGAGAGATTTTGAGAAAAGCTTTGAGTGCAGCCAGTAGAATTAATGAGGAGAATTTCAATTTAATTAGTGAAATAATGTTGCTTGAAAATGAGCAGAGAAATATTTTTCAGACAGCTGGAGAAGAAAAATGAAAAGGAAACCAGACACCCTAATAAATCAGGTCCAGTGGCTTGACTTTCAGAAACATCACCAGAAATTGAAGGAAATATTCAATATTTTGGCAACTTCAATTAAAAATAATGAAGAGTGAAGGAACCCCATTTGACCATGAACTCCATGCCATAGAGGAAAGCATCTGCTCTATGACAATTACTTAATTGGGATGCTCCAGGAAGAAGAAGAAACCACATCCATCAGATAAATTGCTGAACCCTTTCTGCCTTTCTGTCAGAACCCAGCTATGAGAAATATGAGGAGAAAGAAACATGGGAAGGGAGGAGAACATGGGAAAGGACAAGATGCATAACTCACTGGTCTGGAACCTGGAGTCTCTTTCTAAGCTATGCCTCTGAAGCTGTTTGAGCTGGTGGAGCTCCTGGTTTGCAGCTGGTAATGCAGTGAGAGCCCAGCTCAGAAACACAGGGCAGGATCTGTGGGTGGCAGAGGAGACACAGGGAGGGAGCACCCAGACACCAACCCCAGCCTGGGGGTCAGGGAATGAGGCATATTAACAGAGAAAACTGCAAAGCCCTGACGGGTGCAGGGTGTCCCTGGGTCCCCCATGGCAACTGAGGCACCCCTGAGCCCCTGTCCCCCCCATCTCTGCTGCCTGCAGTGCTGGGAAGGAGGAGGTTGGTGATGTGGGACTCAGCACATTCAGAACCACAGTGGGGACCTGGGGGCTTCAGCCAGCCCCCAGGAGAGGTGGAGGTTTACTGATGGGGAGGCTCTTTCTGATGTAGGACTGGACAAATCCCACCCTAATTTTTCTTGTTTATCTTCACAGGCAGCATGTGACACTGGGAAAATTTCACCTTGGGACCCAGCAAGAGTCAAAAGTCTCTCCAACATCTGCTCTGCTGGAACAGCCTGAAATAATACAGCTTGGACAATAAGATTAGTCCTGGGTGGAAATTGTTCTCTTTTTCTTTTTCCCTGAGAAGTGAACAGCATAAAAATCTTTGAGGACAAAAATGAATAATGGAGGCAAAGGAACAACTCAAGTTTTGGACACTGTAAGAACTGGGGAGTTTCTCGGGAGGACTTTGTGATCCTGGCAGGACTGGAGACATCTCCAGAGTTTGGTAACTCCTCACAATTCAGTGATTCACCTCCAAGAAAGCTCATCCCCAACAGCCAAGGCAATTAAAGTGTTCCCAGCCCGGGTTGTGCAAGGCTGTGCTGGAGCAGCAAATTACTGAGCACTGGTCTGAGGAGCCACAGCAGGACTTCAGCACGAGTAAATACCATTCAAAACAAGGAGGGCTTAGGAGAGGGCTGGGTTTCATGGTAATTGGGCTCATTGGAGAGTGGAAGCAAGCAAAAGCAGCAAATAGAGCAATGCTCCTTGGCCCAGGCCCAAACTAAACAAGGAGGCCCCGTGTAATGACAGAGAGTGTCTCTGCCATGGAACAAGAGGTGGATTGGAATAACTTTATCAAAGGATGATGAAGGCATGCAAATGGATTTTCACAACAGAAAACAATGGGTTACTTGTCTAAGGCATTTTAAAACAAAGACAGATGGCAGGAGAGATGAAAGCCTAGGAAGGAGAGAACATGGTCGAAGATAATAGAAGTTTAACACCAGTTTGGCCAGAAATGAACACAGAACTTGGCAAGGCTTGACAGGCTTGTGCTGCAGGGAATATGGATAACAAACAGGACAGAATTCCTACCACCAAACCCCAAACCAAGTCCTAAAATAGAAAGAGGTAAAATATGATGAGATTGCTCAGCTGGTGTAAAATACAGGAGTAGACCAGGAAGGTACCTAAAATAATTCCTGCCTATGTTCCCTCAGAGTTGCATCTTGAGGAAGATGATTCAATTAAAAAATGAACAGAATTGCACATAAAAGTTAAGCATGGTCCTTGTGTACCTGCAGTGTTGAATCTCAGACCTCACCTTCATGAAAAGGTTTGAGGGAAGCCCAGGAGTCAGGAAGTCACTGACATCCCCTCTTCTGAGGGCTCGAATTTTTCATAGATCAGAGAACCCCAGAGTGATTTGAGTTGGAAGGGACCTAAAAGATCATCCAGTCCCACCCCTTGCCATGCCAGCGACACCTTCCACTAGCCCAGGTTGCTCCAAGCCCCATCCAACCTGGCCTTGGACACTTCCAGGGGTGGAGCAGCCACAGCTTCTCTGAGCAACCCGTGCCAGGGCCTCCCCACCTTCATGGGGAAAAATTTATTCCTAATATCCAGTATAAATGTCTCCTCTTTTATTCTGAAACCATTCCCTCTTGTCCTGTCACTATCTGCTTGTGTAAAAAGTCACTTCTCCTTTTTTTTCATAAGCTGTCTAAGTATTATTTTTAAAAGACTTTAAGCTATTGGTGCTTCAGTTCTTTTTAGAAATTCCTAAAATTCAGCCAGAAAGTTTCCAGAGGCCCTTTTGCAAATCCACCCTGGATGGCTCCTGTCTGTTTCCAAGAAACCAGTGCTGAGGATTTCTGCCCACTAACACACCCAGTTCCTTTATTGGGAAGGAATAATGCTCCAGTCTGGCTCCAAAGGGTGCTGGGAAGGCTCTGGGCTCAGTCTGGCTCTGTCCCTGCCCCTGCCTCCTGCCCCACACTCACCCATTCCGGCACAGGCTCACTACATTATTTAGCAAGTTGCTGGACAGGTAAGACTTTCCCAGGTGGGGGTTGGACATGATGAGGTTCCTCAGAGTGTAACAAGCTGATGTCATGATCTCCCCATAGCTGCTGGTGTTTCCAGACTGGAACGACAGGAGACGGGACACATCTGGGAGCACCTGGTGAGCTAAAGAGGTGGAGGAATGTTCCAATCAACATTTAAACACAATCTGGCACAAGTGAATGATGCTATTTGTGTTAACACCAAGCAGAGTTATCTCTGCAGGGAGACACTGGAAGTGTTGGACAGCAATGGCATCATTGTCGTGAGTGGATTTTCCCAAGACAAAACGAGGTCTGCAGGCCTTTGGAAGGGCAGTGTTGTTGGCCACAGACACTGAAGTCCAACTCAGTTCCCAAAATACTGTCACCCTCGTGGTCCTGCAGGTTTGTCTGTCCATAAAGCACAGCACGTGTCACACAGCACTGGTGACTGTCCTTGGGGCCAGAAGAAATGACACTGCTCTGCCCAGTTCTGGAGCATGGCTAGGTCTCCTTATGGGGCTTACAAAGCAAGCTGGGCAGATCCCACAGAGCTGAAAGCTGGGATCCAGCACGGGGGAAGGACTTACCCATGGTTTTGTGGAGCACAGGATGCCTGGACATGTTGCTGAGCAGAGAGGCCCCGGAGCGGACGACCTCGGAGCTGTTGGACTGGAGCAGCCGCGCGATGCGGGGCAGCCCCTTCTCCTTCAGCCCAATCATCTGGCTCATGGCATTGGACATCTGAGGGACAACACAGGAGCCCATGATTACAGTGCCAGGGGAAACAGCTGGGATGATGGTCAGGCCTGGAGGAATGGGACTGTACCATAAAATGAGCACTGCACAATCCTTTCTCCTGCTGCTGGATGATCCCACTTACTCTGTCAGTTTTACCTCTCTTCCCCACAGTTATGGGAGCCTGGAGAAAAGGAGCCTCTGGGAGGATCTTCTGGCTCTCCTCAACTCCCTGACAGGAGGGTGCAGGGGGGTGGGCTCTGCTCCCACAGAACAAGGGACAGGACAAGGGGAAATGATCTCAAGCTACCCCAGGGGAGGTTTAGATTGGATTCTGGGGAAAATTCTTCACCAAAGCAGTTGTCAAGCAGTGGCACAGCTGTCCAGGGCAGTGGTGGAGTCACCATCCCTGGGAATGTTCAAAAAGTACATGGATGGGGCACTTGGGCACATGGGTTAGAGGTGAACATGGGTGAACAGCTGGACTTAGTGATATTAGAGGGCTTTTCCAAGCTTAATGATTCCATTACTCTGTGACATTTGAAAAGTCAGCCTCTCATGTGCTGTGATGCAGCTGGTGCTATTCTCAGGAGCCCCAATGGAGCAGCTGATCACTCAACTGACATTCCAAACGCTGGAGAAGCTTTGCTTTCATGTCCGTGTTGCCCTCACCCTTCACAACGCCCTGGCAGCTCCCTGCCCTGGCCCTTCACAGCTCCCTGCCATGCCACAATGCCAACGGGAGCAGGAACAGATAATGATGCCTTTAAAAAACGGTCTGAGGACCAAAACTACTCATCTTAGATGTGATCTTGTGCTTGTAAATGTAGAAGGTATCAGGATGCAGCCAGGGCAGAGGAGCTCAAGCACATCTCCTGAATAAACTGCCCTTATTGACAGAACTTAAACTGAACTTCTCAGCTGCCCCACCAGAAATGCTGATGGAGACACACGTCCATCAACAGTGAGATGGGAGTGGAGAGAAGGCTCTGGAAAACATGTGCCCTGTTCCACAGGGCACCACAGGCACATTCACACCAGCAGTACTGGGGTGTGTAAAGCACAGCTGAAGGATATTCAGAGCCATCCTCTGTGAGCTAAAGGATCACAGCAAGCTCCATAAGCTCATCCCCAGATTCAGTTTCCATCAAATGACAGCAAACTCAGCAACTCCAGCTCCAGCTCTGAGCTGGAATGAGACCCTTGAGGGGAGGAGCCACTTCTGCACACCCAGACAAATTTCAGCCATTCCATGCCAGGAGGCTGAATTAAATTGCTCCAGCACTGTCAGAGCTGGGTTTGGTTGTTAGTCCCTTGTGCAATGTTGTTGATTGCTGAAATTTCTTTTCCCTGGAGCACAGAACTCCAGCCCCATTTCCCTGACCAGCTCTGCCCATACGTGACAGCCTCTCTCCACCTTCTGGTTCGTGGCACTGCTTAGTTAAATTGCCAAAAGTCAAGGTTCCCAATTATTTAGCATGGAAATCGTTGTGACAAAAGGAGATCAGAGCTGGCAGGTTAATGCCATCCCAGCAGGGAAGGCTCCGAGTGAGTCACCCGTGTCTCTGGGTGGGACACTCCCCACACGTGACACGCCTCTCCTACCTATGGAATCATTATCTCTTTATCTCCCCATCCATCTTATTTAAATTGGGATTGATGGAGCTGGGCACAAACAGACAAGTCAAGGGCTGTCCCAGGGGCGGCAGCCTGCGAGGACGTGCCCAGGGCAGTGACGTGGGCCTGCAGAGCCATGGCTGTGACACGTTCCCCACGGTGCCACGGCATCACCCAGCCCCTGGCACTACCACACTGCCGTGCCCACGGGTCAGGACATCTGTCACAGCTGTTTTACGGGTAGCTCTGAGGTGTGGACAAGCCACAATCCACAGCACAACCCACCCTGTCATTAGAGCCACCTCCCCTTGGAGCACACGCACGGGCGGTGGCTCAGCCCTTCTCCCATCTCTCATCACATCTGGCTAGGGGTGCACATCTGGGCTCACCTTCACTGCCACCCTGGGGGAGGCTGCCAATACCAGCAGCTGCTGGCAGTGCAACCAACAGACTGGGGAAACTTGGAAACCCAGTGTATGGGTCTGGGATAGATCCTTGGGATGCTGGCTGTAGCTCCCCATGAGACCCTGAGTTTGGAGTTAGGATCCCACTGGATCAAACACTATGGAGAGACTGGCTGTGGTGCCCTGAGGTTTAAGGAGGACATTTTCCTTTTTCATGGCTGAGAAGTGATGATGATCAGGGACCTTAGAGTTCTTCCCAACCTGACTGACTCTCTGGTTCCATGGAAGGGCTGACACATTTGGGTGCACACATGTGGAGGGGAGGGAAGCTCTTACCAGCCCTCGGCTCGCAGTGAGGTTCTGCAGAGCTCCAGCACAAGCTTCCAGGGTGGCATCCTTCTTGCTCTGATCCATCAGGGACAGGTAGGTGCGGATGGCATCTGAGTGGTAGAGCCAGCTGGGGCCTTTGGGCTTGAAATCCTCCTCAGGAAGGGGAACCCCGTACTCATCATTCTGCAAAGACATGAGAAACAGGGAGTTCAGATCCTGCTCTTCCTTTGCAGCCCCTGCCTGGGGCTGAACATCACATTCCCAATCCCTCCGTGGCACATCCTACCTCCATTTTCCCACTCCTGCTGTTGAAGCAGCCTGTGAGAGTTTTGTCCATGTAAACGCTCCGGGCCATGTGGTTGAGCTGGGTGTATTTGTTGGGAACTTCAGCATCCAGGCGGTAGGAGAGATTGTGCAGGATGCAGATGCAGTTCTCCACAGACTGCATCACCCCCAGAAGACAAATGCAAACATCACATTAGGCAGAAAACTATGGAACAGCACCAGAGAGGACATGGACTGGGCCATAAAATCAGCTTTTTAGCACCACAGATGCTCTTTAGCCTTTTTCAGGGAGCAAGGGATGGGGGGGAAGGAGCTGGAATAGATGTAAAGGATCTCAGTGAGCTGCTGACCCAGAAAACCTTGGGAGGCCTCACTTGCCACAGCCAAGTTGGCAAACAGGAAAAGAGAGTGTGAGAGTGGTTGGATCAAACCATGAAATTCCAAATCTTGAAATGCCCCTCTCACCAGGGGTAACTTTAACTTCCAATGACTCTCTCTGAGTCACAGTTACAGATCAGGTGACACTTTTTACCAAGAACAGGCTTGAAGCCTCCTTTCCTTGGATGCCAGAGTGCCCAATGGGAAGAGCAAGAGAGAATTTTGGCTGGATACCCATAACCAACACCAGAACCTGTGGTTACATTTCCAAAGAGCTGTGTTTTGTGTGTGCTGCTGGAAAGGGGCTTCCTGCAAAAGCCATCCCCAAAAGAGGGTTTGCTCAATCCAGAGAGAATTCAAAATAACTCTGGTAACTTTGAGGGTTACATCTAAAAAGTGTCTACAAATACTTTTTTGTCCAAGGCAAGTGCTGCTCAACACAGCCATCAGTCACAGTCTGGGGACTGGCAGAGACATGCCAGCTCCTGGCTTCCTGCTGAACATGGTGCCAAGCTGGGGATTGTACACTTGAGTCCTGCTGGATGGCAAGAGGTGGGGGTAAAGAGCAAGAGATGGAGATTAGGATGCGGGAAGGGAAGGGAAGGGAAGGGAAGGGAAGGGAAGGGAAGGGAAGGGAAGGGAAGGGAAGGGAAGGGAAGTATTCTGAGGACTCAGGAACCAAAGTATTTTACTGTTCCTCTGTGTCTGTTAAAAGAAAATTTTAAAGCCCAGCTCTACTTCAGGCCCAGAGGCCCAAGGACTTACAACCCTCCAACAGATCCCACTGGGGCTTGGAAGGACAAGAGCAGCCAGAGACTCCAGCCACCTCTTGTGTTTTTCGGAAAGGGGTTTTGAAGTATTCCCAGGGTTGCAATTGTTAACTGTGGGGCTGGGCAGCCCAGGGCAGCAGCTGGTACCTTGTCATCAGGGCGGCTGGAGGCCACGCAGTTCTGGGTGTAAGTCATGACAGAGTCGATCAGGCCAGGGTAATTCCTCATGGTCTGGCGCCCCATGTCTGCAGAGCTCAGGTTCCTGAGGAAGCCATCGAGGAGCACAGCAGGGGACAAAGAGGAGAGAGGGTGAGCTGGGCTCTGTTCTGGCTATGGTTGTCACTGAATTGGGGGATTTTTTGGCAGGTTCAGCAAGGCTGAAGAACTGCTCCTGTTCTGGAGGCCTTTGGTGGGACTGCACCAGTGCACAAGCTCTCTTGCTGCTCTTTGGGACTGATTTCACCTGGAACATGTCCTGCAAGGAGCTCTGCATAGAAGACACCCTCCTAGGGACAGTCACCAGCAGAAGGCTGCCTCAGAGGCTCTGCATGTGCCACTACACAGACACTGTCTCCTGAGTGGAGTTTCCAAAGGGAAGACTGGCTAAAGACTATCTGGGCTTGTTGTGATCATCAGGAAGGTGCACAGGGCTGTAAGCACAGACCTACCCAGGGTCAGCAGCAATGTCTGTGTGGGAAATGGGCTGGAAATGCCAGAGGGACTGACCCATCTGTGAGGTTGAAATGGGTTCCTGGACACTGGCAGCTGTCAGCAGGACAGGGGAGTTTTTCCAGTAACAGGATATGGGTTTTGTTGTTTTACTCTGGTTTGTTTTTGTTGTTTGTTTGTTTTTTGTTTGGTTGGTTTGGGGTTTTTTTGTTTTGTTTTGGGTTTTTTTTCCTATTTTATTGCCTTATAGCTTGCAAATGAAAAACAAAGAGAGGTTGGCAGTGGTTGTAGATATTCACTGCAGGCGTTCCAGAACTGGATCTGATGTTCACTGTGATTTGCAGCCTCCTCATTAACATGGATTCATCTGCAATCCAGAAATGCTTGAGCAGCAATGGCTCGGGCCCAGGGCAAACCCAGGGCTGTTCTCATCCCTGTGTTCTGATGTGGCAGGGCAGTGACTCAGAGTAGTCCTGGCTCAGCCCTTGGAGCAGGGGCTCTGGATCCAATCCCAACTTCCCTCACTCTCCCTGCTCCCCAGTCCTGCTCCCTCAGGCCTCTGGAGCTCTCTTGCTGACCTGCAGCTGCCAGTCTTCCTTGGGATGTTGGGCACTGCTGCCACAGGCTGGGATCAGTTTCAGAAGGTAGAGCCTACCTGTAGTTAAACTCCACAGGATTTTTACAAGCTGTTGCCATTGTCTTTCCCTAATTTTAATGGGATGTTTTATGGTGTTGTAGGCTGGGATGGCCTTAAAGCAGAACAGCTCATATCCACCATACCCCACACATCCCAAGCCGCAGCTGCTCGGGGAGCTGCCTTCCAGGACAGGCAAGGAGGGAGCAGCACTCCCTATCTCCCAGACATGGTTCCCAGCCACAGAAGCTGATGGTATCAGGTCTCCAAAGGCCCTGCCATGATCAGCCTCTCGTTTCATAAGCAGCTCCAGCTCCTGCGAGCTGCATGTCTGGGAAGGGCGCGGCTGGCGCTGCCTCCCTCGGGGAGAGCTTCCCTTGATGAAAGCACCTCATTATACAGGGCAGGTTTTTTGCCCCACTTGTTCCCATTGAGACAAGGAGCTCATATCCAAGTGGAGGAGGAAAGTAGGAGAAACAGCAAGTCAGGGCGAAGATCCTCTACAAAAGGACTCTGGTTTCCCGTGAACAAAATAAACTACTCTGGGCTCAGTCTGCACCTCCTGTTTCGTAGCTGAGTCTCCAGATGAAACGAGCCAGGAAAAGTCCAGGACAATGGGACTACTCCGTACTAAAACAGTTATCAAAAGAAGTGGGAAAATGCTTGTTTTCCCCACACAGAGAATTCTGTCTTTTTGTCACCTAAACCCTAAATCAGTTTGTTTTCTCTGGAAGCCTCAAAACTCTAAAGGCGAAGTCTGTCCAGTTTCCTGGTCTGAGCTAAACACTGATGGGTTTCAATAGTGCACAAAACAACTTCCTTTTTTTTTTTTTTTTTGAGAAGAGACTCAGTAAGAACAAAATTATTAAAAAAAAAGCTACTCAAAAAATATTTTACATGCAATTTTTTTCTGCACCTTCTCTTAGTCAAGAAAACTTTCTCAAGGAGAATTTTTCATAGCGCAATTGTAATGAGCATGAATTCAGCTCATTGTAAGAGGATTTAGATGGCATTAGCTTTTGCCCATAGACACAAGCTACAGTCAGTCCCTGCCTGGTGACTCACCTCAAACACCCTGTGGCATTGAAGAACACTTCTGGGTCAATAATTTCTCGTGTCCTGTTGCAGCCACCATCAGACCAGCCCGAGAAAGGGATGATAACACAGTCTGTCAGCACAGGCAGAGCCTCCTGTATCAACTCTTCTTTTAGTTCATCAGTGGAGGAGAGGTTCCAGAGCAGTCCTAGGAAGGATGTGGGACACAAGCTCAAGCACAAGGTTATGTGCATTAGGAACTTTGTTTAGCTCACGGTGATTCCAGCACCAAAATTCTTCTTCCCTTCACCACTCTGAGCTGAGGGTGCAGAGGCTGTGTGAAACCTTGGTTCCTGTCCACCCCTATGGGAGACAGGCAGGATGGGGCCACATGGAGGTGGGCATTTAAGCATCCTTCCTTCTCCCAAAATTGCTATTTATTGCTATTATGTTGCAGGGGACAGCATCTCTCCAGGGATCTTGGAAAGGCTTGCACATAAAACTTGGGACACAGCTGAGGGTGACCTGCACCAAAAAACTCCCATCAACTCCTCAGGCAAAGGTGAGGCACCAAGGAGAGAACCCAGCCAACCCTACTGGGGTTGGCAGCTCCACAGCCATTCCTGGGAACAGCACAGGGGCCAGGGTGCAGGGAGGTGTGGGAATGGCAGGGTGACCATAACTGGGAGGGGACCTGGGGCAGGTGCTTCCTCAGCAGGCACTGAGGAAGTCAGGAATCCTTATGGAACATGGAAGGGCCAGGACCTCCTCTGCTTTCTGATCTAGGTCACCCTTTGGTGCAAGAAGAACAGAAGATCCCTCCTCTGTGCTAGGGTAGCACCAGGGCTGCAGGCAAGGGGAACCTCATGGCTGAGCAGACTCGGGGTACCTGTGAGCTGTTTCTGAATTTCAGTGTTCCCTGTCCTGCGGAGGAGGCTCACACACTCCCTGATCCCGTTCTGCCGCCGGGTTTCGATCTTGTTGGTGGGGTTCTTGAACACCAGGTTCCGGAGGGCTCCGGCTGCTGCCCGCTGCACGTTCTGGTTCTGGCTGCGGAGCAGCTCCACGAGCTTGGCAATGCCCCCCAGCCGATAGACCTGGACAGAGAGACACGGGACAGACATGGGACATGAGCACAGAGTACCAGGAGAGACATGGGACAGACATGGGACATGAGCATGGGGCACCAGGAGAGACATGGGGCACCAGGAGAGACATGGGACAGACGTGGGACATGAGCATGGAGCACCAGGAAAGACATGGGACAGACATGGGACATGAGCATGGAGCACTGGGAGAGACATGGGACAGATGTGGGACATGAGCATGGGGCACCAGGAGAGACATGGGACAGACACAGGACATGAGAATGGGCACCAGGAGAGACATGGGACAGACACAGGACATGAACATGGAGCACCGGGAGAGACATGGGACAGACATGGGACATGAGCACAGAGTACCAGGAGAGACATGGGACATGAGCATGGAGGACCAGAACAGACACAGGACAGACATGGGACATGAGAATGGAGCACTGGGAGAACATGGGACGGACATGAGACAGACATGGGACATGAACACAGAGCACTGGGTGAGACATGGGACAGACATGGGACATGAGCATGGAGCACTGGGAGATACATGGGAAAGGCATGGGACATGAGCACGGCACCAGAACAGACACAGGCCATCAGCACAGAGCACAGGACACTGCTGGGACAGGGACACCCAGGGGTCAGACAGCCCATCCTGGGGGAGCTGAAGAAGCAGAGCTGCCAGGGAATGAGAGCCAGAGGTGACAAGTCTGGTTCACAGGCTGTGGGTCACGAGCACAGAGCTCCTGGGCTGGAGGTTGGAGCCAAAAGCTCAAACTGCAGGAGTGGCTGTCTGTGAGTAATGGCCATGGACAGAGTCCTTTGCTGATGGAAATGTGCTCCTGCAAACTTTCACCCACCTCCACAGTCTGCACCGAGTGGAAATGCTGCCTTGCCTATGAGCAGAGGCCATTTATAGCCACCTAATGACATGCTGTGGTCATTTATCTGCATCCTGAGATCACAGGCTGAGCTCAGAGGGATGGTCACGGCCAGTGTCACCAGCCTCGAGGTCAGCCGCAGGCAGTGGAGGGAGCCCAGCCCTGCAGGACACCGCAACGGCACACAGAGCTTTGAAGGCGGATCCCTGCAGCTGAGCTCTCCAAATGCTGAGCGCTGCCGCTGCGGGATGTGCTCTGCAGGAGCCCGTCCTGCCACGAACACCCCTCGGCTGAGCCTGCTGACAATGGACAATGACCGAGCGCCTTTTGGGAGGGAAGGAAAACAAGCGCGAGCTGGGATGAGTCACCGACCTGCTCTGGCACATCCTCCTGGGAAGGATGGCACGGCCCAGTGCTCAGAGAGGGTTTGCAACGGTAACAAAGGGTGTGGCCAGCCCACAATGGACCAGCTGAACATGGGCTGGGCACCTGCACTCATCCAGGCACAGCCAGGGCACAGGAGCACAGCCCCACACCGGGCCAGTGCTTCCAGCTCCACTGCTGTGCCAGGACGGGGAAAGCCACTTCTAAAGGGTTGGCATGTCAGTAAATCCAGGGTGGGGATAAACTTTGGTGACATCCTTGCCACAGCAGATCCATCCTTCAGTCTGCCTCTTTTGCTGCATGTTGGCAAAGGAATTGATGAGTAAGAGCATCAGAAAAATAACCTGTGTTATAAGAAGAGCTTCTCTGTGGTCAGGTATCACAGAATCAAAGAGGGGTTTGGGTGGAAAAGGACCTTAAAACTCATCCTGTCCCACCCCCTGCCATGGGCAGGGACACCTTCCACTATCCCAGGGTGCTCCAAGAGCTGCCCAACCTGCCTTGGACACTTCCAGGATGGGACAGCCAGCATTATGGATGTGCAAAATTATCTTTGTACATGGTCACTTATTAGCCCATTGGCTCAGGTGGCTGAAATAGTCTGGAAAAGGCTGGCAAAGGGCTGCAGGGTCACTGGCCAATGCCCAGCAAAGTTCACAGTGGGATTTAAAGCAGCTTTTGTCTGGCTCTGACTCTGCAGCTCCAAGATAGTGAAAGATTGATGTGGAGTTGGGTGAAAGACTGATGTGGAACTGTGTGCAAGATTGATGTGGAACTGGGTGCAGTTGCCCCCAGGAGAGGACATTGGATGGCAGCTTTCACACTGTCAAACCCCATCACCCTGTGCCAAAACAGTTCATGGTGACAACAGGAACAGTTTCCCTGCTACCCAGAAACTATTCCAGGCATTAAATCCTGACCAACTGCTGTTGTGAGAAAGTGGCCATCAACAGCTGAAAAATCTACTTAATTAATAACTGAGCCTGACTAAAGAGGTACAAAGCACCCTCATAAAAACCAAGAGAACCTATGGATCCTTGGCACTAAGGAAACCAGTCCCATCCCTCTCTTGTGCCATCAGCACAAGAGGCACTGGAGGAGTCTGCTCACCTCTTGCTTGGCAGACTCATCCTGGAAGCAGGTGTGCTGCAGGTAGTAAGCCCCCATGGCCTGGTACTTGTCATCAGAGGAGCACAGGAGCTGGATGGCCTTCTGGATGGTCATGGTGCCAGCATCAATCTCATCACCACAGATCCTGTGTCAAAGAGAAATACAGAACTGGGTGAGTGCTCAGCCAAGACAGCTATGTCAGCACTGGGAATTATTGGGAAGGAATCAATAATGAAATATCATCACATTGCAACACAGACCCCACAGTGCACTTCTAGTGGATTTCTCTGTCTCAAAAAAAGATGGTAAAAGATGGAAAAGACACAGTGAAGAGCACTAAGGGTAATAAATTCCAGATCCAGTCTATCCACAAGCAAGGGAGACAGAAAATGAAAACTGGGTTGAGGTGGTAGATGTCTGATCATGCCCAAAGTGGAAGTTTAATGAAGAGAGAGCCAGTTCACTGTTCCCCAAATAAAGGAGTGAGTGGACAGGAGTGAAACCATCTGCCAGGTGATGAGGACAAGGTAACACAGGCAGGTGATTTTCCCACAGCATGGGATTCTTTGATGTGAGAGGTGGTGCAAGCAGAAATGTGAGCACAGTTGATGGTCTTGGGAAGCTCAAGCAGATCCCTCAGGAAAAAGCCTGTCTGGAGTGATGGGATGGACAAAACAGCAGTTTATGAAATGCTAATAATAGCTCTGAGACATCCTGCTCCCAGGGGATGCTCACACTGGCTGGCCCCAAGCTCTTATAAAAGCTGACCACTGTCATCGTCCCTGTTAGAGGTAAAGAATGTGCCTGCAACTCAAGAGGAAGGATATGAATTCCTCTGGCTTGTGGCAGGACTGGAACCTCGGGAGAAATACTAACACCTGGAGGTTCTCTCACTTGTTTAGTAACGTGAAGGTCCTGCTCTTTTTGGCTTCTTCCTATTCAGTACCATCTGTGATGTTTTAACCACACAGAATTAGAAAAGGGTCCAAACTTTCAGGGGGGTCTGAACAGCAAAGCTTCTTTGTGCTTCCAGTTATAGAAATTAATGTAATTGAAGGTTCCTGTCTCCTCTCAGCATCCTTGCAGCTGAATCCTGCACAGGCTGCATGGGGATCTCAGCTCATAGCAGTGGTGGCTACATTAATTTGTCCAGGACTGAGGACAGTAAAACCCAAACTCCTGTTTGGTTTTACTGTCAGCAGTGACAGGATACAAATGAGAAAGGCTTCATTAGCAGTGGATGGAATCCAGAAGTGTGAGGGCTTTCCCAGGCCAGCAAAGTCGTGGCTGTGCCAGGCTGATGATGCTCCCTGGGACTGATGGGGAGTTTCACCTGGAGGTCAGGAAATCAGACCCTGATTGAACCACATTTATTTATACACATAATGTATACCAGGAGTGACTCTGTAGAGGAGCTGCTCATCTTCAGGCAATGCCATAGACCAAAGAACAGTGATTTTTAATAAGTTCTTTAAATGAACCATTACATTTGAAGTGTTAAATTTCACCACAAGACAGTAGCACTTCCAGGCACGGGATGGACAGAGTTGCTTTGACTGAGTGCCAAAGAAATGTAAAGGTCTGAAAGGACATGTGGTCACCACCAGCAGCACTTACAATGAGATAAAACATTTCTCCTTATGAATCTAAGGGCTCCCCTCCACACAGCACAGAGCAGGGAATAATATGCACAATTCCACAGGGAATTTCACACAAAAGGCAGCATGAAGGACTCTGGTCACCACTGCCCTCACTGGCATAAAGTTACACTAAGCCTGCATCACTCAGTCAAGCACCTGTGGAGTCAGTGGAAAGAAATCAGTGATTCCAAAAATCACCTTGCCTTTGTGTCTCGGACATTTTGCCTAGGAAAGGAAGCCCTGCCCTCTGGAGACACCTCTGCCTCTCTTGGTATGCAGGAATGAAAGACAACAGTCTGCAGCTGCTGTCTTAAACATTCCATGTCTAAGGCTGGGTAAACCTCATTCCACTTTTATTTCTACACTGCAATAAAACACCTCTTCCTCATAAGACTTTTCATCAGTTTGAACGTCTATCAAAACCTGGCACCAAGGAACTTCCATTAAACTTGCAACAAGGAGACACAAAACTGGAAAGACTAAGTAAACTAGAAATTATGGAGCCACAGAAACCCTTGGGTTGGATCCAGGATGTGATTTTTTTCTCAGGTTTTTTTCATGCTCCTGAGATGATCTGAGCTGAGAATTGATGGATCCTGCACCAGGGAGAGGCTTCTCCTTTGGGAATTGGGACCTGGATTGGAGGTATGGGAAGAGAGGCAGATTGGTAAAAATACCAGATCAGTGGCCATGTAATCATAGTGAATCTATTTTGCTTTAAAATTATTGAATCAAATGCACTTTTTCTGAGACAGAAGGATGTCCACTTGGTCCAGCTGCTCAAAGAAGGCAATTTTCTTCACATCCACTCCATAGAGGGACAAACCCTCCTTCAGTTGGGAAAAACTGGGGATGCAGGTGCAGTTCTGTGGGAGAAAATGGGGAAAGTTCCCTTTTCCCTGCTGTGTCCTCAGCAGAAATTCACAGCAGGTCAGCAGTCAGGCTCAGTCACACTGCCCAGGAAGCAGCAGGGATTTCTCCTACCTGAGAATAAAATCACCCTGGCAAAGTCCAGCAAAGGGGAGATTGTTCCTCAGCCAGTCAGGGATATCCCCAACCAGATTCACACTGTGGGAACAACAACCTGCTTCAAACTCTTGGACTGAGCCATCTCCAGCCTGGGCAATGTGACTGGTAGGAAGAGCTCCAAAGGTTGTTCTTCCACAAGAAAGAAGCAGACTAGGAAGAGACCTCAGCTAGAAATTATTCAATGGAGACAAAGAAGATCAGATTCTGGAATGGAAGGCAAACAAATACTGAAGAGGATCAGTATCAAAGAAAGGCAATTTCTCTCACCTTTCATGAGCAGATTGTTTTGTGTTAATTCCCATCTAAGTTTCTGTCCTGCTTGTTATGGCTACAGCTCCCAAGAGAGGAGGAATTAACAAATTCCATTGTTCATTAATAAAATCAGAGTAGAGACTCTCAAAACAGTGTTCAGCACATCCCAGCATTCTATCCCAAATAAAAACAAACCAAAATGAAGGTGCCTTTCATTGTACTCAGTTCTGCTTTCACTGCCTGGCTTAGCCCTGAAAAATGAATGTTTTGATATTGATCAGCTTTCATTATCCCAAAAGACAAGAGATAGATCAGAAATCACCCTCAGCACCTTTCCTGACTGTTTCAACCACTCCTGTCCTTCCCTCTGTTTGCAGTACTGCCAGAGAAGCTGAGCTCAGGAGGGAATGGTTGTTGGGGACACAGTGTCCCTGAGCTTCAGGCACAGCACAGAGTCTGCAGCAGCTCAGCCAGGGCCAGGTCAGTGTCACCAGAGCCAAATGTGGCACCAAGAAATCCCAAAGGGTTGTCCCAGTCTGCACTTCCCCCTGCACAGCTGCCAGCTGAGGCATCCAAGACCTCTGACAGAGCAGCTCTGAGATGTTCTGGATTCCCAGGTGCCTGGAGAGACATTCACATGGCCTCTAATGAGGTGTTTCAGTCTCCTCCACACTCAGAGGTCTCCAAAGGGAAGAGCATCCACATCTCCCAATGGGGCCAAAGGTAAGTGTGGGTTTGCAGGTGGCCATTAAAGGCTCCTGATCCAGATCAGCAAACCCTCAGCCAGGGACTGTCTGCAGACACCCAGCTCCCCATTCCATGCTCCCAAAGGAGAAAACCCCCTTCTCCAGGGGTGGGATGAGTCTGGGCTCTCAGCCATGTCTGCAGCTCAGACATCTGGGGTTCCCTGAGAACAGCAAGAGGTGTTGGCTTTGTTGGGGAGTAACTCAGGGACCTGTCTCCGAATTCAGCCCCACTGGCACTGGGCACCTCAGCTCAGAGAGAGGCATCTCCTGAAGTGGTGTGACCAGCTCAGACCACTGCAGGGCCACAGACACCATGGCCACCACCTTGCCCTGTCTGTGCCATGAGGCCCCTGAAGCACAAAGTACAACAGCTCTAAGCAGAGCTAATACAATGTCAGTCCCTGGTGGACACAGATTTCTTGTACCTCAGGTTCCAGTTGGAGGGGCACAAAGACTCCAAATTTCCCAGGAGAATTAAACATCCCATTGTTTGTTACTGCTTCTTACCACTGCTCCCTGATGACCAAGCAGGATGTAGAAACTTTTATCCTGAGTGGGCATAAATAGTATCAATAACATCAATAACATTGCAACATAGCCAAAAGCTGCCTGCTCAGGGTGCTGCCCTGTCACCTGGAGCATGCTGCAAGTGCCACCCAGCAGAGGAAATGGTTCAAAGTGGGCAGATGTGGGTAGTCTCCACCAGCTGCTGAAATCACCACTGCTGCAGCTTCTAGGGTGAAATACTGCAGCTCTGGGGGATGTCACAAGAGATCAGGAAGGAGAAGGGTTCTGTGGAGAACAGGGAGTCCTGGACACCAAGGTAATTCCTCCAGCTCTACCAGACTCCAGAGAGCTGCATTTTGCAAAATGTGAGTGCTGCTCATTGAGAGCAGCCTTTGGGCAGGAGCCACTGGAACACCCTGAACGTCTGAGCCCAGGCCAGAGATGCTGAGCTTGGAAATGTTGATCCAGATATCACATAATGATTACCAAGGCTCAAGTCTCTGAGTGAAGTATGTCTGGAATCTCAGAATCACTGAGGTTGGAAAAGACCTCTGAGACCATCGGGTCCACCTGTGGCCAATCCTCACCTTGTCACACAGCCCAGAGTGCTCAGTGCCACCTCCAAGGTGTTCCTTGGGCACCCCTAGTGATGGGGACTCCTCCACCTCCCTGAGCAGCCCCTTCCCATGTTAAACAACCCTTTCTGTGAAGAAATTTTTTATGAAAGAAATGGAATGGACATGAGAAGGTCCCTCTCTGCTCACTGAGGCAGGATCATGACTGGGGCTGGTGGAGGAGAATAAACCGCATGAGGAGTTCTAAATAGTGCTCAACCTCCTGATCTGGCAAACAGTGCACAACTCAGATTTCATCACCAGGACCAACAGCATGGGGTGAGTAAACCCTTGTGTCGTGATTTAGTTTATAAGGGAATCATAGAATGGCTTTTCCTGACAAACAGTTCAGTGTTACACTGCTCAGCAGGCAGTTGGAAGAAAGGGGCTTTGGTCAGAGCTGCTGTTGTAAGAGGGAGGACTCTGAGAGATATCAGTTATCAGCTGTTCCCTGTCTCATACAGCCAAACCCAGTTCAATAAATGGCAGCAATCACATAATCAAGACCAGCTGTGGAAATTAAATAACTTTGTCACCAAATGCAGAGGGACTGCTCAGCACAGACAGTTTGACAGTTATTGCGCACTCATAATTTTGATACCTGCACACCACTGTTGCCACCTGAGAACACTCAGTGACCCATTTTTCTTCTCACACCATCCAGGGAGACCAGATCCACAGCAGAGGATGACTGAGAAGCACCACTCTGGAGCCAGTCCATGGGCATTACAGAGTTTTGTATCACAGACAGACCCAGTGGAGCACAGGTCCCACTGCAATCCCTCTCACAGCAATGGAAATCACCCCATGGATCACCTCAGAAAGCATGAAAAGCATCCAGCCCTTCCCTAGCTCTTGCAGGCTATTGGCAAACCTGCAGACAAGACATCCAACAGATCCCAAAATAGGAGATCTGCAGCACAAAAACTGAACACAGAATTCTCCATGTCACAGAGGCACAAACTGCACCTGGAGAATGACCAGAATGGAAGGACAGAACCCCAGACTGGGAACTGGCAGCAGCTGTGACCCTGCATGTGGAGGTTAATAATGGGGTACCTACAAGCAAAGCTCTCCTTACTCAGCATTGGGGGAGCCAAGGGAAGATTGAAATCTCTAGGTGAAGAATCCTCCAGACACAACAGCCCTACATAGCAAGGAGAGCCCAGACATGTTCCTGACCCACCTCAGAAGCCCCTCCCCAACAAGAGCACACTGGGAGCAAGGCCAACAGTGCCCTGCAAGACACTTCTGAGGGCTGTCATCCAAAAGAGTCATTTTTCCAAAAAGGACAACTTTGTATGTCTCCAAAGCTTTAAGGACAACCTCCTCCCCTCTGAGCACAACTCCTGTACCAGGTGCCCCCTGCACCAGCCCAGCTCTGCAGAGCTTCAGGCAGAGCAGGGGCTGTGCCACAGCCACATCAGATTCAACCAGGGCACACAGCCCCAGCTGAGCCCACAGCTTGAAGCCCAACCTGGAGCCCAGCTTGGAACCTGAGGTTTCCACAGCAGAACCAGTTCTGCCAGATGAGCCGTGCCCCAAGCCAGGAGTGTGTAAATGGAGCCACTCCCTAACCAAGGGCAACCAGAGCTGGAGAGGATCCCTCTCAAAACAGCAGCTCTCCTCTCAGAAAATGCCATCATTCTCCAAGTGACCTCTCCAAAGCCATGACCAAGCCCCTGACCATGGCTGTGGCCAGAGCCTGCCAGGACTTTTGCTCCAAACCTGGGTCCTCCCTAGGAGAAGGCAGCTGCAGCCTTGAGTTCAGGCATTCTGCCATCCTTCCCACTACACTTTTCTGCTCTTCAGTGAGAATTGCATAGAACAGATCACTTCCAGTTTGTGTAACATCTCTGGATCCTGTTCCAGAGGATTTACAGAGCTGCTGACAGCAGCAAGACAAGGCCACCAGTGCTCTGGGCTGGCCAGGGCTAATTTGGCATGTGTCAAACATGGAGTAACTGGGCACATGGGCAGCCAAGGGCTCATGATAACATTCTAATGGGGCACTGATGTTTCTTGGCATCCATGCTCTGGGACATACCCTCCTACTCAATCCCAAAGGAGGGAGGCTCAGCCAGAATAACCTGGGACATTCAGATGTGGAAAAGGGCACAGTGTGGCTTATGAAAGGGAAGGGGATTTTCTCAGCATCTCCATCATTCCTTGGAGCAACAACTCTACAGTTTCAGACCTTTGCTGGGAGTTCTGACAAAGTCTATGAGCCCTGATAAACAGTCTCACACACATCCTGCAGTGGGAAATTTCTCCTTGGGACCAGGGACCACCAGGAATGAGTTTGGGAGCTTTTACTGTTTGTGTGACAAAATTCCCCATCAGAGAGTTGTGAGAGCTTCTGGGCTGGTGCAGAGCAAGTCCTGTGTGATGGTGATGCAGCACAGGAACTGCAGTAGCCCTGGGAACTCTTGTGGAAGCTGCAGCCCCTCCTTCTCCAGCTTTCACTGCAATGTTTTGCAGTTCAAAACATGCAAACCATGGTCTTCCAAGGCTTCCAAGACTATGGTTTGTGCAGACCAAGTCTCTTCCAAGACTGCAACAGAACATGGCTGGTGCTCCAGAGCTGGAGGTAGCACAGGGCATTGGGGCAGTGTTCAGTCACCACCCAAACCAGGTGATTGTCAGTGGGAACTCTGCTGCATTCACAGGTACAGCCTTGGGAGGGTCTGAGGTCACAGCTGTGATTTACACACCCTGTGCTTGTAGGCAACATCTGCAAGAAGAGATCTGATGCTCAAACATGATGGACTATCCTCCACCCTTATATATTTCCTATCCCAAATGGGACTGGATGCTCTGGACAGGAAAGAATTGAACAGCTTCCACTGGCTCCTCTTTCCTGGTTAGTCAGATTATTCCAATTAGGATATTTATTTCAATTTATGACTCAGTTTTTTTCTGGAACCAAAATCAGACCTTTTGGGCAAATGAAGCAGAGGCTGGGTGGAGAGAAGAGAGGGAAACATCACTGCTTAGCAGGCTCTCAGCTCTGCTCTGAGTCAGACCCTCAGGAGCTGACTCCTTCCAAGACAGGTTTTTTTTTGGGTAAGTTTTCTGCCAGGCTGAAGCAGCAGGACAGCCAGGACAGACACCATGACTGCACACCAGGCCTTCTGCTCTTCACCTCCCCATCCTCCTATCATTGTGGGTTAATGCCACCACAGACACTGAGGGATTGTGTTGCCCAATATCACAGAGCTACAGCAGTGCAATGATATCTGCACTGAGCCAGTCCTATCAGTTCCCCTCCACAGCCCAGGAAATGCAATAAAGCTCTGAAGAGTGACTCATCTGACCCACTTTGCTGCAAGATGCGCTGGTGAGGGCTCTGCAGCAGCTCAGGTGCCCGGCTCTGGTGGGCAGAGCTCCCAGCACTGCCCAGGCTCCCTGAGGGTCAGAGTGTGAAATACAAAGCTGTGTTTCATGTCAGGTACATACAGGCAACGTGTGTATTTGTGATTGTGATATGTGTGGAGACTGACCATGGAACAGTTGCGAATTCTGATAATAACTGAGGAAAGCAAAGCATGGAAGAAGGCCTTTTGAACCCATCTTTTGTTTGCAATTAACCTTAGTTGATTTAGGAGCATTGGAATTAAAGCGTTAAGGATGTTGCTTTTTGCTTGTAGTTAATCTTTAAAGAGCTCTGCAATAATAACCTTTTGAAGTATAATTTTAGAATATTGCTTGTATCCTTGAAACTATAGCTCTGGAATATATATAAAGGAAACATGCTTATCTCACACCTTAATAAAGCAGAGAAAAACAGCTTGAGAAAGGAAGATGAACATCAACTCAAGGATTAATAGTTTTGACCGAGGGAAGCTGGACATCACTGTTATGAGATTTACAGTCCTTGCAATTAAAAGGTGGATCCACATCTGGAGAGCTGGACCTCACCACATGGGATTCTTCTTCCTTCTTTTGGAAACCAGACCACCACCATCTGGGGATACTCCTTTTGGGATACATCCTGAGAAAAACTAAATCACAATAGTGTATAGAATTGTGACGTAAAAATTGGGAATAGAAACTGCTGATGAGTAAGAATTGGAATAGAAACTGCTGAGAAAGCTGATGAGTACCCCTATGAATACCTGTAACCCTCAACTATCGGTGTGCAGTTGGAGGGAAAACTTCCCCCACTGTACCCAGCACTGTATTGCTCATACTTTACCATATTAATTAATAAATTGATTTCTGCTTGAATATTGGCCTAGTCAAGCTTCTTATTTATAACAGGAGCACTTACTTGGAGCTGGACTGGGCCTGTCCATAGACCCCGTCCTGCTTGCAGCTCATCACGGGCTGGGCATAGACCACGTCGGGCTTGTTGCTCGAGGGGCAGGACAGGGCCCGTGCTGGCACCTTTTTGCTGGTCCTGCTGGTTCCCTGCTGGGTGCTGCAGCTGCTGTAGATGCTCTGGCGGTTGAGGGTGGCCTTGTGCTCGGCGCGGCCGCCGCCATGGGCCTTGCGCAGGGTGCCGCGGGGCGGCTCGCAGTAGAGGTCGGGCTCGCTGCGGCTGCTCTTGATGTTCTGCACGAAGCAGTAGTCGCTGCCGGCCCGGGGGCTGCACAGCGCCTTGCTGTGGGCCCGGCTGGCCCAGCCCTCCATCTGGCTGTAGGAGCTGTAGCGCCGGCTCTCCACGTCCCGCTTCAGCGTCCCGTTGTAGAGCTATTGGGAAAAATGCAGGCATTTAAGGATTGGCTTTTCGCAAATATTAAAATGAATAGGATATGTGTTGTGTTAGAAAGTAATGCTGTATTAATTCTCTTAAGTACTGTGTTAAATATAGTTTTAGTTATAAAAAATGTTAAAATAGAAACTATGCTATGTAGGATGCTTTTTTTAAAGAAAGGGCTCGCAGTGAGATAGCAGCCACAGGACACCTAAATCTTCAGAGAAAAAGAATTTATTGCCCTCTTATCAGAAGAAATGAACATCTTCCTGCCTCAAAGGCGCTGTTAGGATTCGGAGGAAGAAGTTGATGATGACCAGACAGAATCCTGTGTTTGAATGGAATTTATGTATCATGTATGAAGTGTATGGATATGCAACAAGCTATTGTTTTTAAGGGTTAATCCTGTGTTAACGGGTGTCCTTTTTTGGGCTCATGCTGCCCAGAAAAAGGTACCCAGATGTCCATAACTCTTTGTATTTATTGTCTCATATTATCCTAATTCAATTTGTCCAAATTGTTATTACGCTAATTGTATTAATATTTTTTATAACCATTTTATTACTATTAAATTTTTAAAATTTTAAAAACAAGTGATTGGCGTTTTTCACAGCTGCCAAACACAAACACGGCTTTAGGGCTGAGCTGGGCACAGCCAGGCTCCCCTGGCTGCCTGTTACCACTTTCCTGGGCTTCCCAAAGTGTTTTCGTGCCCAAAATTGATGGGAGGTTTGTTGGAATCCAGGACATCCCTCTGGCTGCCCTGGATGGCTCGAGCCTCTGTCAGGAGGCTCAGAGACCTTGGCACAGAGCCCAAGACCCCTGTGCCTTTGATTTTGACCCACAGAAAATATTACCAACCTTACATGAGGAATTACAAGCCACGAAAGTTTAAGTAGAATGATAGCTTGTCACAGGGTGAAAAGTAGAATTTTGGGGTTTTTAGAATGGGGCTTGGGGTGCCAAGACGGAGGAATTTGGGTGTGCCTTGTCCTTTCTCCTTCTTCCTAGCCTCCATCTTCTGGGTGATGGTGGCACTTTTGGATTGGATTAGAGTAGGAACACACTGTCTAACATAGGTGATAGCTATTGGAAAATAATTGTAAATAAAGTACAGGTAGTTTTTAGTATAAAAACATAACCCCGCCCTGAAGGAGGGCAGCGTGCCACTGACTGACCTGCTGAACAGACCTCAGCAGGCCAGGGAAAGAATGTTATAGATAACAGAAAACAAACAACCTTGGAAACCAGAACAGAAGAATCCTGACTCCTTCTTTGGTTGCCAGGCTGGGAAAAGAGACTCTGACACATCTTGGGGTTGGCCAGGACCACAGAGACCCCCGAGAGAGGTTATCCAACCTGCAGCCCTTACAAAGGAGCCAAACCCCACCTGGGTGTCAGGGACACTGAGGGATCAGGATGTGGCATCCAGGAGCTTTAATTAGAACTGAAAGCTGCAATGTGACCCTGGCAATAGAGAAAGTGCTTTATTCCCAACACACAGGGTCTAACCCACACTGTAACTACAGGACCTCACTGCATATCTCTCACCATCATGGAGCTTGATGCCCCATTCTGACCTTCCAGCAGTCCCTGCACTTATTTTTAATTTCCTTATGCTCCTTTCTCCTCCATCCCATCTATTAGAAAGGGAGTAAAGGGAGTGAAAAATGAGTAAGAAGGGATTCTTGAATCTTGCTTCTTGTGCCAAGAAACAAGTGGAGACAATGAATATCAGCTTATGAGTTACAAGGCGTGTAGTATCTGCTCAGATAATGGGATGCTCTAGGAACAATGGGGAATATGCAATAAAAACTGAGATGACTAAGAAAGGAAATAAAAAAGAAAGGATAAAAGATGATGGTAAAATAAACCATCAACAATTAGCAAAACAAAAAGATGGCTTTAGCTGCCCTGCTGTCAGTTCAAAATGCCTTCATCAGAAGTCCTCCAGATTTGCATCAAGTTTGCCACACCAGGATTGAATTCAATCTTCTGCAAGGTTAAATCTTTGGGATGTCAGTGCTGGCTTGTGGGAGCCTGCAGGGTTATGTCCAAATGTGAGACAACTCATTCAGGTGTGTGCTCCAGAAAGGAAAAGAAACTGTTCTAGGGCTGTTTGCCCCTTGATGCTGAGTTTGTGCTCTGCATCCCCTCAGCAGTCTGGCAAGGAGATCTCCAAGACATACAGCAAACAGGGATAAAAAGAACTAAGGAATAAAACTGCCTTCCCCATCTCCCTTTGATTATCCTGGGAAAGCTCCTCCATGGTCTCCTGTTGGATCAAAGTGGTTTTTTCTCATCCAACTCTAAGCAGTGGCACTTTGGGTGCTGCTTTCTGCAAAGGCCACCCAAGGGTCCCTTTGGCTGGGAGAGAAAAGTCAACACTGGCTCCTAATAATTTCCTTGGAATTGTGAAAAGCCTGTGTCTGGTGTAATAGTTCATGCCACTGAAAAAAAAATTTCCATATTTCCTAACCTAGAAACACTCTGTGATGGGGAAATGGGAATCCTCTGCTGGCTCACCCTGAAGTCCCTCAGCTCTGCCCTAACTCCATCCCAGCCCCCGCACACTCAGCACCATTCCTGCCTCCAACACTCTGCAGAATTGTCATTATGTTAATTAATTAAGCCAAATATTTCCATTAACAAACTGATCTTCAGGAATGCAGGGAATCCTCTCAGCTGTGTCCCAGAGAGCTGCAGAGGTAACGGCTGAAACCCTTCCCTGGCACCACCTGGGTGGGACTAAGCCCTTTAGTCCAGCTCTGCTGATGCCCAGATCACTGTTATTTGAGTAGTTTTCAGATTTTCAGATGTGCATCTAAACAGGTGAAGTGCTGCAAGGGGACAAAAGGGGAGCAGCTTCTCTCTGTGCCTTCTCCAGGGGACATAGAACAAACCAGGTGCTGAGTGGGGTAGGGGCAGGTTTGGAGCCTCCTGCAGAGCTCCTGGGGTTGGGTGGTTGCAGGTGGAAAGGAGAGCCAGGGTGAGGCACATCACAGTAGAATGTGATGAGTCTTGGGGGCTCTCTGGCAGTGGGACAAGCCCTCTGCTGCCCAGGATAAAATCCAGAATCACCACACACACAGGCTCTCTGCATCCCATTGCTTGGGATGCAGCACACACACAGCAACAGTGAAGTGACCTTCCACGAAGTCATGATCTACCATATATTTCCTTCTGAGGTGATGTCATCCTCATTTCAATTTATTTTCCCGGGTTCAGAAACCCTGGGGACAGTGAGGGATGGACAGGGCTGCAGTGGGAAGGTGCAGGGTGGACTTTTTGCTCAGTGGAGCTGCTGGCAGCAGCCACAGGACAGAGAGCAGCTTGTCAGATGTGAGCCCTGCTGGTTTTCTTTATGAGTCAGTTTAAGCTGGGATTATTCTGTAGGGCTGTCAGAAGCTTGGCAGAGCTGTGGAGCCCCTGGGCATCTGCTGAAATCGACTCAGGAAGCCTGGAAGAGGAACTCGTTGTTTATCTAAAGCTGGGATTTGCTCTGCAGTGCACTCACTGAGGGGAGGGGGGAGTCTCTGTTTACTGAGACAGAATCACAGGTTCTCGATTACCTGCTGGGTTTTAGAGGGGCCATAGCATTGTCCTCCTCCTTGGCAGCCCCAAGACGGGTGAAGCTGTTTGCAAAGACACCTTTCTGCAACACACGAGCCCTGGCTGCAAGTCCGAGCAGGTCCCAGCAGGGCGGGGGAGCCTTTTGCAAACTCATGGGAAAATTGTTCCCGTGTGATGTGAAGCTCATTACCAAAGGCAGTCCAGGACTTTTATTGCTGATTCTACCAGATGCTTGGCTGAGCCCATTTTAATCTCTTTCAAGTGGCACGGACCTAATTGGTATCTCAGAATTCCTTTTTGCAGGAGGAGCCTGATCCAACGGCTCCAGATCGATGAGGATTCTCCTACCAGCTCCAATGGACCTCAGACCTTGAGCCTATGAATCCCTGCATGACTGGGGCTGACCTGATCCCTTCCTGGTCCTGGCAAAGCTTCCCCACACTAAAACCCAAATCCCTGTGTTGAATTCTGACCCAGCTAAGTCAGGGACTGTCACTTCTAGCACTGGAGCAAATGTGACCAAGGGAATGCAATTCCCTGCAGCCATCAGTGAGACAGGACACCCAGAGAGGAAGAAGGGAAGCACTCTGTGTCTGCAGAGATGCCATCTCTGAGGGGAAAGGTGTCACACAGTCTGTGGTTTTAAGAGCCACCTGACAAGAGCTCCCAACTTCTGCTGATGCCACTCTGGGTGCAGGGAGCTCTGCCTGTGCAGAAGAGCAGCAGTGAAAGGAAAGAATCAATCTCTGACCTTCAGATCTCATCAGTGCCCAGATTTCCCAACGCTGTGAATTGCATCTGCCCGCTGCCCACGGGTGTGTGCATGGTGTGCCATTCACACCTCTCCCCTTGAGGAGTCTGGGGAAATGCTGGGAAAGACCAGGAAGTCCCTCACAGTGGGGTGGAGACAGAAGGCAGTGATTCCCTCTGCACTGCAGGATCTGGGAAGCATTTTGAAGGGTTCAGGCTGTCACTGAGGCTTCTCCCCACAGGAGCTGAGAAGTTGGGACAGCTTGGAAGGTATCCCTTTCCATCACACAACTCCTTGGATTGCCAAGGAGCAGCCCAGAAAAGTCATCCATGTCCTAGGCTCATCCCCCAGTGTGGGCTGCAGGGAGAGAGAGGACTCTCCCATCTACTCTGCTCTTCTGACACCCCACCTGGAATACTCTGCACAGTTCTGGTGCTCCCATCATGAGGACATGGAACTGTTGAAGCAAGTCCAGAGGACCCCACCAAGCTGATAAGGGGACTGGAGCAATTCTCCATTGGAGACAGGCTGGGACAGCTGGGAATGTTCAGTGTGGAGAAAAGAAGGTTGTGTGGAGACCTCACAGCACCTTCCAGGATCTGAAGGGGCTACAGGGAAGGTAGAGAGGGATGTTTCATCAGTAACTGGAGTGACAAGACAAGGGGAAAGGCT